ACTGAGCTCGTTCAAGTTAAATACCTGGACTGACAAATGAATGAAATTTGTAACTAACGACATTCTAACTAGCGTAATAAGAAAGCTAGTAAAACCTAGTGGTACCTGCTACTCGAACATTAGAGATCGGTAAAATGTATGGGTGAAAGTTTTATTGCAAAATATCCGATAGAGAAGGACCTTTGCAAAACTGTTCTTTGATTATTTTTCTCTTCTTATAAAAGACATATACGTTATGCAATTAGATGTCAAATAAAAAGATCAATGATCTGCGCTCCTTGCAACATACATTTCCTTTCGCTCACTAGCTTTAGGCAATAATTTATTTTCATTAGTTTATAGCAAGTGTCGTTTCAAACTGGCTACTTTCGCATTTTGTTTTCGAAGTTTTGCGGGTGTTTGCAATTTTTATTTATACCATTTACAACATGGAAATAATTGAGCTCAATTCAGAATCGAGCCTAACAAACAATGTAGCTCTACATACACAGCCCTCATCTCATCAGACTCAAAATAAATCATTACATATTCATTTATTACGGTCTAGACTTACCATAATTGTATATGGAAACGACACATACGATCTGCATTCGTTCAAGGCAATCCTGCAAGACAGAAAGTACAAAAATGTTACCTTTTGAATAAATCATTCATTTTTAGTTGTTTCGCTTAAAACGGTTTGCATTGGCTATTGAGAATCAAATTGGAAAAACTAAAGATAATACCCAATACAGATATTTGACTAAAGCAGCACTGCTTGAACTTTAGAAGTTTGAGAAGTTTAGGCATTCATTCATTTTTTGCCTCGTACATGTTTTTAATTTGTTCCTAATGATTAAACCTGATGTTCTGTAATACCTGATTCAAGGTTGAACTGCTATGTTGCTCATAGAACTTGCAACTTGTCCAATTGGATTAACACTGTAACATGCGATAGAAAACCTTTGCATCTTATGACCTATAGAATGAATCACGGCAATCAATCTTGACTCAAGAATGCGCATACTGAAAAAAACATGAAAACATACACTATAGTGTATGTACATTGGATATGCCGTTTTTACCCAAAATTATTCGCAAACATTTTACTCCTTTACAGTTCAAAAGCAAAAGGATATTACTAAAATTGGGAGCCAGATTAAAACGGAAATGCCGTGACGTCAATGTTTAAAATCCAGGCTTAATCGACAAGATAATGTATCTGATAAAACAAGCAAACAGAATGATAAATGTATTGAAATGTCTTCTCAGTAATAAGCAGTATCAGCTATACAAGATTGGCAGCAAATCAATCCTAAGCTGTGGTTTCACTCTTCTCTACGTGCACTTATAGCAGCCGAGTTATGATCTTTTATAAACAAGCAATGTTTATTATTTCATTATTTCCTATCAATGTTAACGTACGTGTTGCACTAGTTTGTTTACCAACTACCTAAAGACGGGCATTTCAGCTGAGCATCTCAATCTCTGTAATGAAGAATTTTCTAACTTTGCATTCTGCGATGGAACGTCACAAAAAAATGCACACACTCACACATCCACACTCGCACCTGCACCAAGACACTGCAACCAATATCAATAAACCCGGTTATGCGACTAGATCTATAGTATACAAGGCAGAGCGTCGCAATAGAACAGTTATTCAGTTATTTAAACCACGTCGCAATTTGACTTAGTAGTACAAGCATGTTAAGCAAAGTAAACTTAACTCTCTCTGCTCGCAGCAATGTTGCCTTGCGAACGATGTTGTCTTTAATCTGAATTTTCTGCAAGTGTTAACTACTGAATGCATTGAGAACACAATATTATTCACCGCAGATCACCAAGTGGTCCTCTGTGATTATACATTACTGTAAAGTAGATTTGGATCCAAGCAGGAGACTTACCGATAATCTTCCGGCAAAAATTGCAAATTGATTCATCTTGAAGTGGAGAATTTGCGTCACGCACTTGACCTGCACCACTTTTGGTATTGAAAAGCGTTTTTGTTAATTAAACCACACCCACTGATGATGGCAAAATCTAGCAGATACAATCTGAATCAGTCTCGATCTGTAAGAAAGACAGTTTGATTTGAATGGAATATTTCCTACACATACGTAGGTGCCTAAGAACGTAGGTGCTACAATCTTTAATGCACATAATCTAGTACCAGTCCCAGTCATCTATTCTGGGGTCAAACAATCGTAATAGTAGGTACTTATTTACTGCAGAAACTAGAAATGATGAAGAAATATGTTGGTTTTGGACTCGTTTCATTTCCTCCAATTCAAGTCAAAATATAGCCTTGAAACGCACATAAACTGTTACCTTTTGTTTGTAGATAGGTATTTCAGCACCGTAAGCTCGACTTGTAGCCACAAAAATTGATTTATAGCTAGGTACAAGGACACTGATATACCGAAAACTGTTTTTGACGATGCAGCCTCATAGAGCTACTTTCAACGCTTAGCGTAGCACCCACATTTGCTTAATATTTGGATTCAAACACTGCATTAAAGAACTGACCGACCAAATGAACAAATTTACTAAATATCAATTACTCACCATAGATAAATAGGAAAATTTGGCATGCCAATACTAATGTCGAATGTCAAAAATTAGGCATAACATGCAACTATCAACATCGGACAACGAATCCTAAATCGTTAAATATGTTCGCTTCGGGCAATCTGCAAACCTCTCCAAATAGGGATATTCATTCAGAAAGCTTTCATCCTCCACTAATAATTTTGTAGGTATTTAAATCACTTTACCACTAGACAAAAAAAACAAAAATTTTGACACCACCTACCTACAAGAGAGCGATTATTAGTAGTCCTTTAATGTAAAAAAGTATGTAAAAAATGGATATTTCACACTTTCAGCGTTTGCATCATAGATTAAATAAGTATATAACATAGTTCACATCAAGATGAAACAATGAAACCATATTAAAATTGGGATGTCTATTGTCCAGGTGTTTACTTGCTCATCCGCCATATATTCGCTATCAAGTGTACAAACATGAACACTCTAAAGCGCAATCGCCCCAGTCTCCAAGTGGTGTTCATAGATTACGAGTAATTTTACGGATATTTGGTCCTAAATTGTAATCATTATAATACTAGACAAGTTTACAAAACAATGCGATTCGGGTTCTTCTTGGGTGCCAGCCTCGAGAAAATCACGCGAACTTTGCCCTTGATTCTACTTCTGCGTCAACCTGACTTTTCAGTATCGTGCTCGAACAAGCAAGCCTATTGTGATCGTGATAAAGGATCTGAAGAAAATTGCTGGAAAACTCATTCTCAGGTAGCCGAATATTCAACTGCTGGAGAAATGGCTGCACCCAAAGGTCTTTTGCTTTACTACAACGAGTACTCTTTCTATTCTCAAAAGGTGGGTATTTAATATAACACCTACATCCGACTTGGCCACTTTGTGCTTATCATTGAGCCGTGTGAAGAGAACATTACATGCATCTCAGTGTGTGTCATCTTCTGTGAGATTAAGACATCATTCAAACCCGCTAAACAAAAAACGTTTCGTAAACGTATAGGGATTTAAATCCCGAAATGTTTCCGTTATTTGCACTTTGTATCACAAATGTTTATGTAACTGAAAATGTCCGGCCTCAGGAACGTTTCACTGAAATTGACTCACCCTGTACATTTAATTTTACAGTATATTTGATGGAATTTAAGAAAATCCAAAGAAAACATTTAATTTACTTATTAGGTTGTTCTGGCTTTGCACGAAAAAAAGCTGCCCTTTGAGACGCACGACATAGATCTGAACGGAGAACAATACAAGCCTTGGTTTCTGCAAATAAACCCGAGAGGTGAAGTTCCAGTGCTCCAAGACAGTGGCAAAATTATTCCAGACTCTGCACGCATCATAGACTATTTGGAGGACAATTTCAGTAACGGTTTGTACTCGAACTTCTGGGATTTTCACTTCAGACGGACTTATAAGGCGGAGGCTTGCATTTTTAGGACATAGTCCCAGGCTGATCCCTATGGACCAGGGAGGCGAGGTGCGGCAGAAAATAACGTATTTCCGGGGTATCATCGACAAAATTAATGGCAACGTGCTTACCATCGGAAGCTTACTGCACCCCGAATTGGCCACCGGGTCTAAGAAAGTGCCTTTTATTGGGCCTGTTAGAAAACAACTAGTAAGTAAGTAAACCGTTCTTCCGGCAGTCACACTGTTTGATCAATATCGCGAGTGGAGGATGGACACTAACACATTAATCTACAAATGTATTATTTTGCCAGATGCGGACAAAGATAGTGCGAAAAACTTACGCAAATACGCTGAAGACAATCCTGGAGCTCGAGAAATGCTTCTAGAAAAGGCGGAAAACCAAGAGAAGAAACATGAAAAGATGCTGAACAAGGAGGAATTTGTAGCGATACTCAAAGAAGCTGATAAATTGTTTGATGAAGTTGAGGCGCAGCTGGCTCAGCATGCAGGTGATCAACGGATTCTGGTGATAACTAACCCAAAGCGGCAGTTTTTCTCTTCAACTGTATTCTATTGCAGATAAGACGAATTGGTGGTTGTGCACCGACGAATTTACTGTGGCGGATGTGTCGTTGACTATTCTGCTGGTGCGAGTCAATCAAATCGGAATGGAGCCCTATTTCTGGACTAATGGAAAGCGACCTCACGTCGAGCAATACTTCATGCGAGTTCAGGAGCGCGATTCATACAAGAAAACGATTCCCACCGCTTTCTCCCTGGTCAAGACCGTTTTCAAAACGCAGATGCCTTTGATTATAGGGGTTAGTATTGCTGTTGCCATTGCGTTAATAGTCGGAGGGTGGTTTATTGTTAAGAAAATTATCCACAAATAAAGTGTGAACGCGGAAAGGAATATCTTAGTAATTAAGGCAAAATCACAAGTGTGGTTGCTTGATAGCTTGAAAGGTTAACTGATACATTTCTAATTATATTTGTTGAGTTTTTCGTTTCTGATGAGCAAAATGAGACAATGCGATACCCAGAGTTATTCGTAAATCCAGAAACCAGTCAGATTTCACGGCAACAATTATTTAAGACAGACGGCGTTTCTCCTGGTTTTGCGCTTCCTTATTTTTTATTCGCACAAGGATTTTAAGTAAAGCAATTGCATACCCGTCAATTTCGGTTGATTTGGTAATTGTTTTTCTAGTATCCCGATTATTAAACCGCTTCCAGACTGTAACAATACAAAATTTTACTTATAATATGTGTTAGTTAACCATTACTAACCAAACTCTTAATGCTGATCGATAGTAATGTGATAGGCATGTATTACGTATTACGTAAACTATAATAACAGCCATGACAAGAAATATACATACATATGTCTGTATTTATTGTATATAAATGTTCAGACTAAAAGTAATGTTTTTATTTTCTTTTTCAACTAATAATTTTTCCCTGTAATGAAACAATTATACGTATGTATATAATAATAATGAATACAAGGAAAATAATTTAAGAAACTTAACCGTTTTAAACTTGACCTCTTGAGTCTATAACTCACTCAATAGGATTTATACAAATAACTGTTTAATAAAAATAAACTTTGTTGGCAGGGCTTGTTCGGGAGACGAAATCCTTAGGAGACCAGTTATGATTGTCCAAGATTCTAATTTAGATATACCTATAGATATAGTAATGTACTATACATAAAAAAATAATATGTTAATTTGGAATTGCCTAGTCTGATTTTATTGTTAAGGTTACTACTTTGTGTAGTCAATTATAAATTTACTGTTTCTTATCGTATAGCTACACTTTCCAGATTTAATTCGTTTTGTACAAAGTTACACTATCTCTCTCTCTCCTTGGCTCTTCAGTTGGTCTATCTTTGTCCCAATGTTCAGAGGTGTTCTGTCACAGATTACAGAGTAACTTCTGTGATCTGTGCACACTGACACCGACTAGAAGAAGAAGTGTTCTGTGGTACCAATGTCATCAATTTTTGACAATCCATAAACAAACCTTTTAAAAAATGTTTGAATAATCATCAACATGTAATAATTTGACAAAATGTCGAATTGCTATAAGCGCGTCAACTACTATGATTTGTGCCGGCTGTGTGCACAAAATATCCACAAAAATAAAGTTAAAATTTTCGAGCAGGAAGGCACCAGACACCAATTGCAGGCCAAAATTAAGAAGTGCCTGGCCATAAACGTAAGTTTGCATGTTTACAAGTCGACTTCGTATCACTGTGTATTGCAGATCAAAGCGGACGATTTCCTACCCAAAGTGGTGTGCGCTAAGTGTTTGAAGCAGTTGGAGTTGTGCAATGCCTTCAGGGAGGAGTGTATCAATTCCGAATCAATGCTATCGAGCTACTTTAAAAACTACCGACATACTGATGAGTTCAAAAAGTCGGGAAAGGTAATGACCTATTGAATTATCCACCCCTCCCTCCCAATTTGATTCATTGTCGACTCTTTTAAGGTGTACATAAAAGATACCGCCAAGTCGGACAGTGAACCGATTCAGAACACCAACAAAAAGCCAGTTGCTGCAGCATGCGGACCGAACCACACTCGGAACAATCTAACACTACCATTGTATGCGAAAAGCATCCATTCAAGCGAAATTAATATGCCTAGCAAACCGATAGCACACAGTTCCTTGCAAGTACAGCATCTTCCTTACAGCATGGATATGCTCAACGAGGCGCTTAAAAAAGCTGTGCAACAACTTCCTAAAGAGATATTGAACAAAGTGGTGGTCAATTCCAACGGTGAAGTTATCAACTTTGCTCCTCTGGACGCGATGACCATGGAACCCACCAATATATCGCATAATATAAGTAGTATAAACAATAGAGTTAACGATAAGTTCAAAAAAGGGGCGGACAAACAGGATAGCATTATTAAAATTGACTTGACTCTGGATGAAATTGGGGAGGATTCGAAGAACAAGTTGAATGCAATGTCCTACTCTAAACCTCCTGCTCATTTGCCAACCCAAAATCCTACAATGATCTTTCCTGCTGTACAATTACAGGTAAGTTTTCAGTTGAATTATTACCAAGAAATCTAAACGTACCCAGCGGATAATCAGGCTAAGATCAATAGTTCCAATTAGTGCCATTGTTCGTTTTTAATATCGAGGAAGAACCGTTTAGCAAAACCAGTAATTGCAACTTTTTAAGAACTAACTTTTCACACAGATTCTATTGTTCAAGTTCAACCTACGTGACGGTTATTTATCAAGCCCAACATTGATTCCATAACTTACCACTTTCAGAACAACAACTTTGCAACAGTGCCAACAAATACCGTATACCCGCCGGCAATTTCTCCTTCCGCTTCAACCGTTATCAACGTAATATGCAGCAATCCTACAGAAATAACATCGACCAGTCCATCTTCTCATTCCAGTATCAACATAGAAGACCTGCGATCGTCCCAGGCTTTCCTACCATCAAAAAGCCGTAAATCAGATACTTCCAAGATCGAAAGGTGCAATTTGCAAGCCACCAAAGGCCACAATTGCGAGCTGTGCCCGAAAAAATTTAAAAGGCGCGAACATCTGTACCAGCACATGAAACTGCACACCGGGTTTCGGCCTTACCAATGCACCGATTGCAAGAAAACGTTCGTGCGAAAGGAACACCTTTTGAGACACATGGTGTTGCACTCGGGCGAGCGTAACTTCAGCTGCGATATTTGCACGAAGAGTTTCTCGCGGCACGACAACCTCCTCAAGCACGTCCGTACACATAACAAGGGCCAGAGCCAATCCGAGACTACCTACACGTGTGACGTGTGCCAGAAGGTGTACCTGGTGAAACGTTTTTACGATAACCATAGAGCGGAGATTGGGAGATGCTTTCTGGCTCCGCATTTACGAATTTGTGACTCGAGCCGGTCAATGGCGAAGAATTGCTAAATGGAAGGGCGACGGATGCTGTGTGATGGCACATATCACATTAGCGTTGTTTTTTAAGACCAACATCAATCTTTTCCGATATAATTCTATGTGGAATCCTATCTTTCTACATAGAATAAATGACAAATGTTCACTAGATATTGAGGAGAAATCTACCGTAAACATAGAAGCAGGCGTAATCACATCCAGGCACGTTCGTCGTCCGTCGTAGCTGTAATTTGTTTCTGTGGACATTCTTTGTCGAGCGTCTTATAATTTCTTTTAATCATACTAAACCGCAATAATTGATCTCATTAATGATAAGCATATTTATATACTATTTATTTTGTTGATTCTAATTACATTAATATTAGCCTGCATTAGCTGATTAAGTTACGAAACTCTGAACTTGTTTATAGTCATCGTCTTGGCTGTATTTTTTTTGTTAACAGTTTTAAGGCTTTTCTTAAATCAATACCTTCGTGTGTATTTATTTAATTTAACTAAGTAATAAACCTGCACCTGCGACGTTTCATTTTCTTTCCAACTATAGGTAATAAAATGCTTATATAACGAGTCGAACGTTTATTTACGCTCCACAAGAATGATTCCACATTTCCTACCGCTTCACTGTCTGCAAAATTTTTACCACAAATGCGTTTTTATCCGCCACTCCTTAAAATGCATACATCTGTGTCTCTGCTTTACTTGATAGGGTTCAATTTTGCCAAACTCGTTTTAATCCAGCAGTGTGGTCGAAAAGCACTGTGTTTCTGAATTCACCTTTCATATCAATCATGTAGTAAAACCAGTGTCCCTTTACTTTCAACGGTATAAACGATGTTGCAGCCGTCCTGGACTGAGTGGAACTCACGTTGGCGAGGTCTAATGTGAACATTCTATTCGGGCCTAATGGTGTGTATGTTACAATGGTGGCTTGTTGGCCCCCTTTCCTCAGTATCAAATACTTGACGGCTCTCAAGGTATATAGCCAGGATACTGCTAGAATACCCCACCCTAGAAACAACACAAAATAGGTATTACTTGCGTCGCTTCAAAGTGATGTTTCCTAATGTTCACCTATGAGAAACGATATTATTGTGAGACTGTTTCTCCATCTGTTCTCTCCAAAATTAATTTTTCTCCACCATACCGATTCAGTCGATTGACTGACGGGGATATCCTTTAAGGTCTGGTACGCCGTTAAGGATAAATACGTCCAAAAACCGAACTGGGCAATACCGAAGAAATTTACCATTTTAAAGAATCGGTCATTATTGGACTTGTACAATATCACATCCTTGATTACATTTGTATTAACATCCAACGAAGTCTGGCCAATGTTTCGCCATCTAAGTACACTGACCGAAGCGTAGTTCCTCAATTTTAGGAGCTTGATAAATAAACTCATAGCGCTTTCTTGGTTTGGTTATGTTGTTGGTCAAAATTGTCAGGTATAAACAGTATTCTACGTCTGTCTTACTGTGATGCTAGAAACAATCACAGAACATCCCCCTGGGGAATATTCTGTGGAAACAATTTAAATTGACAGATAGCACGTGTTTGACTAAAAAAAACATAGAAGCGAGAATACGCATGTAAAATTGCTGGAAGGCGTAAATGAAAGAATACTCACCTTTAAGCTATTTTGACATAGAACGGCTATATTTTGCTCTTCACAACATAAAACATGATCACTTTTTGCTTTTAATCTGTACACAAATTGGCGACTGAACCTAAGATGAGCAAGCAGTCATTATTTGAAAACTTGCTCATAAAATCTATGATTTGCCATTTATTAACAATATAATAAAATATATTAATAATTTTTCATTTTTATCACAGCCCCTCGTTAACTTTGATGTGAGCCTTCAAGTGAGAGTTGCAGGTTCTGGGAGCAATGATTCAGAAAATCCCTGCAGCAAATAGAGCAAAATAAGTTTCATCGAATTTCTAAACAGCAAATCTTGAAATCATAAAGCACTCACAGTATGTGGAAAAATGTGAAAGAGTCCCGATAAATAAAATAGTGATTCAGTCCAATCTTGGCATTGAATAGAACAAGCTTCGTATCGTTTAGCACCCATTCAGAGACATTTCGTTTTTTCGAGGCGGTATATAACTGCAATTGAACGGCCTTTAAACTTATTTTCCATCTTACTCAGTCTCTTTCTCTTACGGCTTGGCTCATAAAATACGGCACAATTTCATCATCTTTAGCATGGAGAAACAGTATAGGACACTGCACCATTTCAATATGTTTAGTGGTATCAAATAGGAATCCATTATGCTGCAGAGGTTTGACGACAGTATCCCAAAACCAAGGCAGCCACTTAAGATACTGAAAAGCATTGATGCCTCAAAGCCAGCTTGAATAAATGTATCATTGTATACCTTCACGTAAGGATGAAAATACAATTCATCGGTCAAACTGGTAAAGGCTGCCTCCAAAATGAGTCCAGTTAAGTTGGCATTTTGGTCTAGCCGAGCCACGGTGCTCGTAGCCAGATTTGCACCCAATGAGTGGCCCCATATATAAATGGGGCTCTCTGTTCTGTTCTGGAGCCATTTGTACACTTGGACGCAGTCATTAACCACGTTGTTCTCAAGCATCTCACCTGGCTGGGAGTCGCCGTAACCTGCGACAACCACAGCACTTGACCACATTAGCTTACAAGCGATCGTCCATTAACCACCTCTGTAATCGAAAGCAATGACGTGGAAAAAGCTTCTTAGCAATTGGTATTTCTGCCAGCTCTGACTGCGGTCTTCACCGGTGCCATGGAAATACAGCAGGACACTATAGTTGCTGTGTTTCAGAACTTTGTCAAAGTCGTACGATTCATTGTAAAACGAAATCTCTGCAAGATCTAGCGGGAGGATGTGCCACAGCCCCAACTTTAAGGTTGTCTTGTTATCCACATCTATTACTGGTACATAGTGGTTCTTGTATTCTGGCAGCCGGAAATTGCCATAATACGTTGCATTTGTTTGAAGACCAACTAGACATGTAAGCAACAAACCTAGTTATTCTAGTCAGTTCTGGCAGTATCGTACAAGGTACTCACATCGGGTAAAGATCAAGGATTGTTGCAAAGCCAGTGAGAACTTAAAAACCAAAGGTAGTCCAACGAACGCAGCGAGAAATCCCAGAACCAGCAACCCACTAAAACTGTAATTGCCATTCAACACGGGTACGAACAAAAGAATTATTCTCAGATACTTACACAACAACCAAAATACAAAAGACCCTTTTCACTTTACGTCTTTTGGTAGGCATTAGTTCAACGCTGTCGTCATCATTAGCGAAATCCTCATCGTTCACCAAGTAATAGTCATTATATCTGTGATTGTTCATATTAAAGGCGACTCATATTTTAAAAAAGCATGTAAAACAACTGAATGAAATTATTTCAACAACCTTACCATAGCAATTTCGGTTGACAAGTATTTGACAATGATTCAGTTATTCAGGTGCAAAGACTTCATTGTCTATATCACTCTGTAATTGTAAGATATTGCCATAATTTGCTCAAACAAAGGAAGCGTGTCCTTCCAGATTCCCCATCATTGGGAACAGCTACAGGTAAGTCTCTCCTATTTAACTTGACTCTATATATTGGTAAGTCTCTCCTATATAACTCCGATACTACTTACTTACCATCGACATAAAACATTGCGTCCTGGTTTTGGTCGATTTCATTTGGAAATGCAACAAAAACTAGCACAGAAAATAATTACATTTGATTCATCTAGTAGGAGGGTCAGTTCGTGGCAAGCAAGTTAAATTTAACCAGTTTTTGTTGTTTATCGTGTAAAAACGAACATTGGCCAAATATACAGGGTGATTCAAAATTCGCGTCATTACTCTGGAGGTGTTGTCTGGCGCAGTTATAGAAGTTCAGAAGAAATAGTAAAAGAAATTAATTGTTATTAAAAACTGAGAAATTTGCAAAAAACTATATCAGAAATACGACAGCAATGTTTTTCAAGGTAATCTGCCTAATTAACATTGCGCAAATACCTGTTGCTTCGTAATTATTTAAAACTCCGGTAATCATGGAATTATACAGACTGACAATAAGACAGACAAGGATAAACGGTAAATTCAACAAGATTTGTTGACGAAATCTCAACCTGTTCTCATAAACTCGAATATGGGTGTTTATAAATAAACCCTACAACATCAAACATTTGAATGTTTAACTGCAAACAAGCTAGAGCCTGTGTAATCTACTTATTATCCACTCTTATCAAGCAGCTTCTCGTATTCAGTTAATTAACTCCTGCTCATTTGTATCTACGTGGTAGGAATGTAGCCCTTCCTCGGTATTAATTTGGTGCTCGGGAAAGTGTCAGTTATTTTGCTCTGAGTGCCCCTGATTCGGTTATGCCCAATACTTGTTCTTCTGTGCCTGGAACCCGAAAATGGATTGTCGTCTACTGTCTTCCTGGAACCACTCTCCTCGCCATTTGTTGGCGTGAGTTCTTTCAGCTTCTGCTATGTTACTGTAGCATCATGATACCACAAATCACAGAGGTTACTGTAGAACTCTGTAATCTGTGCATGATACAATGAATACAAGGTAGGATCTTGCGTCGATTTGCGTGACGTCAGTGGAAATCACTGCCTGGCGTGCTTTTTTCCTGTCTGCTAAATGTGATTAAATA